CCTGAGGGCAGGTCCCAGGAAGTCGCTCTGCATTTTGTTGCCAGACCATCAAGGCAAAGCTGCAAGCTGAGCTGCAGGAAGCTCACAATGAAATCCAGACAGCGCAGAGGAGGCACAAGGAAGAACTCCAAGGCATCAGAGAGGAGATGAATGTCCTCCTTGAACAGAGGGATGCTCTACAAAAGCAGGTGAGTGAAACAGCAGTGGCACTGCAGTCACCCAGGGAGGACTCTGTGGCCTTCTTGCTTTTCCATGGCGGAGCAGCAGCCAAGTGCTCTGAGGGCGCGTGAGCCCATCCATCCTTGCCTCTTGCCACACAGATGTTGCAGGCAAGTGTGAAACCCTCTGCTCTTTGCTTCTGTGCAGGTGCTGCAGGAAGAGCAGAATGAGAAGAGGGCTTTAACAGAGACACTGCTCCAAACTTGGGGACAGCTCAGCCAAGCGTGCCAGCAGGTCCAGCAGCTCAGGCAGGAGGTGAAAGAGCAGCAAGAGAAGGGACAGGTAAGTCTGAGTAGGCAGGGAATGGAGTGCAGGGCAGGGACAAGGGCACAAAAGGCAGCTCCTGGGACTGAGGGGGCAAGGGCTGCCTCAGGCTGTGGGAGCCTGGTAAACTCCAGAGCTCAGGCCAGGAAGGAGGGCTTGCAGTGCAAGCAGAGCTGGGTTGAGAAGCCACAAGAAGTAGCTGAAGGAATGGGGTTTGGAGACAGCAAGTGCAAAAATCTGAGCCTGAGGGCAGGTCCCAGGAAGTCACTGCATTTTGTAGCCAGACCATCAAGGCAAAGCTGCAAGCTGAGCTGCAGGAAGCTCACAATGAAATGCTGGCAGTGCAGAGGAGGCACAAGGAAGAACTTCAGGGCATCAGAGAGGAGATGAATGTCCTCCTTGAGCAGAGGGATGCTCTACAAAAGCAGGTGAGTGAAACAGCAGTGGCACTGCAGTCAGCCAGGGAGGACTCTGTGGCCTTCTTGCTTTTCCATGGCAGAGCAGCAGCTGATGGAGTGATCCCTGGGGCTGCCTCATGTTCTGGGGGCTCCATGGCAGCTGCTCTGAAGGACACTCAGTGCTCTGCTGAATCTCAGCTGCTGCCCCCTGGACAGCTGGGCTAGTCCTCTGGGCTGTTGGCCAGCACCCATCAGCATGGACTCCTGCTGGCCTCTTCTTGCTAGCCTTGGTTTGGGAGGTGCTTTTTCAGGTGGGCCACTTAGAGACTTAACCAAGTTGTCCATCTCTATTGGGAATCTGCCAGTCCCAGGACAGGGAGAAAGGGAACGTTTTCCTTTCTCATTCCTAAGTGCCTCTACTGTGGCTGACAGTGGCAGGCTGTGGCTGAAGGCAGGAACTCCCTGTTCTTTCAGGAACAAAAAGCAGAGTGGGCACATGCTGGGCTGTGACTGCAGGGCGAACAAACAGCCAAGTTGTTTAGACAATCCTCATCGGACAAAGCAGTTTTCTCTGAGGTGGTGCAAGTCCTAGGAGTTTATAAAATGTGATGCCATTAGTAATGAGTTGCATGCTTCCTTTCTAGGCTGATTCTGTCTCTGGAGGAAAAGAGCATGGATCTCAGAATGCTGGAACAAAGGAACCAGGTGCTGAACAATGAGCTGTCTCAGTTTCATTCTGCTCTTCAGCAGGCCGAACAACTCTCTTCAATTTGTGCAGGACAACTGAAGCAGCTCAACACCCAGGTAAGCTGGGCACTCCATCCTCTTCTCCAGGGACAGATAACACCACCTTTGGCATGCTAGTCCCAACCTCTTTCCCCTCCCAGCAGCATCCACATGTTCTTCCCAGGCCTGCTGCTGCTGCTGCACCCTCAGGCCAAGGCTGGATCTGGTGTCTGCTGCCAAAGTTTTCCCCCATTCTCTCCTGGGTCCCAGCAGGAAATGTGGGAGCAGAAGCAGCAGCACACTCCTCTGGAGCTTCTCTGTCCCTCTGTTAGCAGTGCTGTCCCTGACAGGATTGGTGCCTGTGCCAGGCACTGAGCAATGTGGGGACACAGACGTGGCTATGGCAGGCTGGGCAGGGCACTTCCACCACAGCCAGTTCAGCCCGTGTTCAGAGCTGCAGCCTCAAGGGTGCCCCTTGCCTCCCTTTCCCTGTTTTCTCTACCTTTGTCTCCACTGGAATCCTTGGTTCCACTGGAATGCCCTGGAATCCTGCACAGGTGTCCCAGCTGCTTTGTCTCTCTTGGATTGCTCACTCTGCACAAGGCCAAGAGCAAACACACTTTGCTATTCCTCCGAACCTTGCCCCTGCCATTCCTGCTTTTTTCTCTGCTTGGAAGATTCCTTCACTTCTGTCAGCTTTGGAAGATTTTGTGGGCTTAAGACCAGGCAAACCCAGTCAGGCAGAGAAGACAGTGCTGTTGTCACTTTGCAGAGCCTCCCTCATCTCAAGGAGGACATTCATCTCCTCTCTGACGCCTTGGAGTTCTTCCTTGTGCCTCCTCTGCACTGCCAGCATTTCATTGTGAGCTTCCTGCAGCTCAGCTTGCAGCTTTGCCTTGATGGTCTGGCAACAAAATGCAGAGCGACTTCCTGGGACCTGCCCTCAGGCTCAGATTTTTGCACTTGCTGTCTCCAAACCCCATTCCTTCAGCCACTTCTTGTGGCTTCTCGATCCAGCTCTGCTTGCACTGCAAGCCCTCCTTCCTGGCCTGAGCTCTGGAGCTTACCAGGCTCTGTGCTCCCACAGCCTGAGGCAGCCCTTGCCCCCTCAGTCCCAGGAGCTGCCTTTTGTGCCCTTGTCCCTGCCCTGCACTCCATTCCCTGCCTACTCAGACTTACCTGTCCCTTCTCTTGCTGCTCTTTCACCTCCTGCCTGAGCTGCTGGACCTGCTGGCACGCTTGGCTGAGCTGTCCCCGAGTTTGGAGCAGTGTCTCTGTTAAAGCCCTCTTCTCATTCTGCTCTTCCTGCAGCACCTGCACAGAAGCAAAGAGCAGAGGGTTTCACACTTGCCTGCAACATCTGTGTGGCAAGAGGCAAAGACGGATGGGCTCACGCGCCCTCAGAGCACTTGGCTGCTGCTCCCCTGGGCCACTGTCTGCCCTGGGGAGCCACAGCTGCCCAGGAAGTGACTTAAAACACAGCCCAGAAGACATCTCTGGGTTCCTCTTCAGAAATACTCCAGATGAGTCGTTAAATAGATTTTTCTCATCCTTGTCAGCATTTCTGCTTCACACTCCCTGTGCCCACAAAAGTCCTACAATCTCACTTTGGCACTGAACACCTACCAGCACACACCAGAAGGGGAGTGGTAAGAGAACAGTGAAGAAACTCTGAGGTATGTCTTAGAAAAACAGAACACAAGAGCAGCAAAAAAATCTCAACTTAAAGCTGATGTTTCTGCCTGGCTTCCTGTGAGAGGGCTCATTCCTGGTCCCAAAGACAGACCCGGTCACCTTTCACCTGCCCAAATTCAATGGAGAGGACATGGAGGACATGCTCCACACAGCCCCCATAGCCTGCCATCTCCACAGCTCCAGCCTTGCAAAAAATCACACCAGTTCTCCCTTCAGAACCATTACCTGTCGCTTGGCTTTTTCAAATCTAGTTTGTTCATCTTGTTAGACCTGCAGGGTGGCAACTTTCTGCCTCAGCTCAAGCAGCACCTTCTCTTGTTCCCGCTCTCTCTTTGCCTTCTCTTCTTGCCATTGTTCCAGCATCTCAGCACGGTGCCTTTCACGTTCACTTGCCTGAGGAGGGGAGGAGAAATTTGCAAGATGAAGTCCCAGCAAGCTCCTTGCTGAAAAAAGTGAAGCTTCATCCATCCCACAAACCCCAGCCTGAAAAGACAACAGCACTGGCTTTCTGCACTCCAGAAACCATGTCCTGTCTGGGAATTTAAGAGGAGGCTCAGCAGCTGCAAGAATCACAGCCTCATGGAATCATTTCTGTTGGGAAAAACCTTCACAAGCATTGAGCCCAAGCACTCACAAAAGGAGGTGTCACCTTCCCCTCCCTGATGCCCCAGCCACAAGCACTGAAGGACCAGGGGCCTGTTCCATTGGCTTCCAGCCCAAACCTAATCCCTGTGTCAATCATGGAAGCACAGCAAGAAAGGACCCAAGTTCCGCTCCTGCAGCCAGCGGCACTGATGGCATCTGCTCCATGTTGGCATCTGCTCCATGTTGGCATCTGCTG